AATATCCCAGCTTCTGTTGATTTCTTTTATTACTTAAAATATTTTTTACCTTATATACTGGCCTATCAGGGTTTACAACTTATTTCTTTAGTTTAAAATACAGAAATGTAAAAGGTAAAGATTGTACCTTTTATCACTATAAAGTTACTATCTTTAACATGATTTCATCTAACCATTTATTTATAATATTTTATCATTTATCTTTTTAATTTAGGAGTCTTTTATAACTAACATGTTTTTTTAATAACTAACAATGTTTTTTCTATTCAACTTTGTCATTTATAATAGTTATTTCCTGTTAGCTCATTTTGATATGCCAGTTTTTTCATTTTCTTTAGTTTGGTTCTGTGTATCTCATCTGAAATACCTTTTAAAGCCTCAGGAATAAAATAGTACATGTGCCACCCAATCTATGAAACTTCCTCCATTTGTGGACAGTTATTTTTTTAAAAAAACAAAACATTTTTATAAGATTAAATACTTGCTGCTTTGAAGGTGTATTACAAAATTTCATTGAATGAAAGACGATTCTTTGCTTATTGACACGTTTAAAAAACCTTGTATAGAGTTCATTTAGATCCCTATAGGAGAACTCAGCAGTCTGAGATAGGATTTATGTTGCTTTGAGGAACCAAATCTGTGGTAGGAGATGACTTTTGGATGCTCTTCTGGATTGCACTGCATAATTCACATCATTCATTTCGAGTTCCAAGCATAAATATCTTCTCAACATACTTTATCCTTCTATGAATTTTGTTTTGAAGAGTTAATGACACCTGCTGAGCAGCTAGCATCTTGTTGGAATTCTTCATACTCAAGCCGATTAGAATGGCATAGCCTGGCTCTCAAACCTTGGCAGATGTGCACAGAATGACTCCACTTTCACTTAGTCCAGGGTGATGGCACTTTGTTATATGTTTATTAGTAGTGATAAAACCATGAATTGTTATTTTCCTAATTAGCCATTGATAATAGTTAAGTCTGTAATGAGATCACAGTTTGAGAAATTGGAGAATATATTGTCAATAGTGGAATCTAATAACAATTGAAATGGCTTCTTAAATTTTAAAAAAGATGTTTATCTTATTGATAGAATTATCGCCATTCATGTTAGATACCAATGTCCTTTCAATTCGTCTGTTTTGTTTTAATTCCAATGACTGAAAATATAATATTCTAATGGGAAGAAACTTCTGGTACTAGAAAGTAAATTACAGTAATTTTTAAATAAACGAGGTCCTGAAGTATCTACAGGCTGATGTAGTAAGAAATCACATTGCATCAGAGCAAAAGCTTTATTGTAACAGCTGCCGTGGATGCTAGGAGAAATCAATGTAAGCAGATCAATTTTCCTTAGGTCCTTAAATGTTTAAGCCAGCACCTGGCCTTTGTATTGTCTCTTGGTTGTAGGTAATAGCTGGGAATTTTAGGTGAAGGATTACAACTTCTGAGTTAGTTATGCTACCCCAAATGATCCATTGGATGTGGCTGAAAATGCCAGTTTTAAATGTATTCTTGGGATTAGGAATGAATACTTCTTTTGCCTGAAATCCTGTGGTTTAGCTTTAGTACTTACTGTAGTCAATCCATTACTTTGAAATATTGAGCTGTCTGACAGCTTAAAATCCTAAGTTTCCTTTAAACTTGAGCCTGGCTTTGGAGGAAAAAGGGGTAGTGGAGGGGTGGATTTTATGTAAGGCTCTCTGGAGAAAATTTGCCGAAGTGCTTTTGCCGGCAGGGCACAAGGAAGGCTAGCAAGCTACTTGCTCTGCCTTTCTTGGCTTTTGCCCTTAGCCAGCACTTAGTCAGACAATTTATATCAGGGCCACTGGAGAATCTCCTTGGGCTTTGTTGAAGTCATTTCCTTCCATGAAGAAACATGGAAAGAGACCCAAAGACAAAGTTCAGGTTTTGCTAAGCCAGTTAGATATTAGGAAACGTCTTCATGCCCTTATATCCTTAAGTCCCTCCTGGATGTTTATTTCTCGTCTAAATTGAAGGACTGAGTTTTGATAAACGTCTCTTGACCAAGTATCACCTTTTAAGAGTTCTTTCTTTGTGAATGCAGTCAGGTACAACAAATGTATTCAAAATAGGTTCTTTGGAGGTACTAAACATACTGCAGACTCATTATTTCCATGTTAAATGTAAACATCTAAATGTGCACTAAGAATTAAAATGAAGTGAGCAGTAGACAGTAGAGACATGGGTTTATTTTCGTCCTATATCTTGTGCCTAATTCTGAGCACATCATTGGCTGTATTTGTTTCTTTATCCACCTTTACTTAACTCAGAGACCCAGTTGGATAAGATTTCTGACATTGGTCATGAATTAGGGACCCTACTCCATATACAGATTTTATCGTCAGGACAAATATATATAACAGTAGGCTATTTTAAACTTGAAAACATATGATAATTATCAAAGGCATTTAATGAAGAGTGATAACACTAGCTAACTATGAGGGCATATGTTAAAAAAACATAGGCAGAGCTCTTCAGAGACCATACTGCAGGATGTACTATCTGAGCTTTAACAAAATTTTGACATGAAAAGCACAGAGAAGGTGAGAATGAGCATTCCAGACAGAGGAAAGCTAGTGTGAAAAAGTAGAGGGCAGAAATGGATATGCCATAATCAAGAAATTGAAAGACAGTGATGTTCATTTTATATTAAATCCCCCCTTTATTATAAATGTAAAAATGAAAACTTGAGAATGAGAATATTCTGAACTTTTTATTTCATAGTAATAAGAAAAGGCTCATATAGCTTGCATCTGAATTAATTGAGAATTAGCAGGTTTAGCAGTAATTTAGGAGGAAACTAAGTACTTAAGGGCTCAGGAGGATACAAAGTAAAATTAGCTTCATTTGGGGGGAGGTTCCATTAGAGAAGACTTCTACAGAGTGGGATTTTAGAAGAAAGTGATAAAAGTGGATTTGTAGACAGATTGAAAACAAAAAAGAATGTTCTACATAGTGGGGACCTGGAAGTAGCTGATTAGCTTGTATAATCAAAAGTGGGGTCTGAACTGTAGTCTTTAAAAAGGCACATTAAAGGTACAAGAAATACTAGTACAGATTCATTGTCCATTCATCTTGGTTCATCTTGCACTGTGGCCCTAGAGCCACATGAAAACCTGTGGGCAAAAGTTGCTACCTATATTACCTGTTCTGCTCTCTAAAGTTCCCTCCTGCCCATGGGCTTGTGTTTTGTTTGAGAATTTCCTGTTTCAATCCATATACCTCTCTTTAATATTTCTTCGTATTTCCTCCCCAAAGGAACTTGTTTCTGAGAAGACCCTAATCGTTTCCTTACAAGTTGCTTTCACTGACTTTGCTTTCTGCCTTTCTTCCATCTGGAGTGTCTCTTTCCTCTCAGCCATATGTGCTCAATCGCTTTTATTTATTAATTTTTAAATTAAATTTATTGGGGTTACCTTGGTTAATAAAATTATATAGGTTTTAAATGTACAATTTAATAATCCATCATCTGTGTATTGCATTATGTGTTCACAACCAAAAGTCAATCTGCTTTTAAAATCCAGGGCTTCAGAAATCACTTCTCTTCTGACTATCATGGCTATTTTTTGGTTTTCTGTTAGCATATGTTTCTTTGTGTTGTTATGTTGCAGAAAAGATGCAAAAATCAGACCTGTGAGAAACCAAGCAGCACTCAGAGTTGGAGAATTCAAGTTTATTACTCCCGGGTCCCAGAGGAGCTAGCTCTCTGAAGATCTGGACCAGGAGCTCAGTTGCAACATTCCTTATACAGAACTTATTTGGCATGGGCTGATTGGTTAATTTGTCCTCAGATGGTTACAAAGAGTGGGAGTTGCTATAGGTTGCAGGCAGTTACAAAGTTACAAAGCATGGAAGTTGCTGGGGGTACAGGCAGTTATATTTGTTGCTTAGAATAAGCAAAAGACAAGATGAGTCTATGTAGCATATTTACAGAAGTAAAACAAAGAGCTGATTAGCCTTTTGAGTGAAAATCCTCTTCAGTTATACTTGTTTGTCTTTTACTGTCTTTCATTTGCTAGATTGAGAACATTGTAAAGGGGCTATCTCTTGTAACCTGCATTGAATTGCTTGGGGTCTCTGCAAATGTGGTTGTTGATGACATCGCAGATAGACTAATCTTCCATTTGTGCGTGACTCAGTCTCACATAGACTTATGTTTGCAATTTTGTGTTTGTTCATTTTTAATGGAAAATCAGAGCTGGGTTAATGTGCACAACATCCTGAACATGAAAATCATGGCTGAGTAAATGTGTAGAAACTGCTAAAATGTAAGCTTTGTAAGATGAGAGGCTTTTGGTTTTTGGTTAGTTTTTTTTTCTTTGTTTTCTTTTCTTTAGCACCACATCTCCAGTGCTTACTACCAGGCCCAAATGTGGGACTTAATACTATTTGTCGAATGAGTGCTGGCTTAGTTTACTTAAGCTGTAGGTCTAAACCTGGTTACTTACAAATATCTGGCAGGAGACCTCCAGAATGTTGTTTTGACAAACAGGATCGTTAAGTGTCTTACCAGTGGTTAAAGAATAACATCCAGCATCTATTCATTTTGTCCTACGATAAGGAAACCTTGTTTTTTGTTCTATTTCATTGTTTCTTTTTTTCAGAAGAGAATAGAAGAAATAGGTCGCAGTTGGTGTAATCTCATTTTAGTTTATTTAGTGTTTCGGGTCTTTTTATTTTTGACCAAAAAAATCACAATTGAAACAGGAAAAATCTGAGAGAAGATTACTTACCAAGATTTATGAACCTTTGTTAGACTTTTTGAGTGTTTATTTAAGACTTGCTCATCACTCTCTTATCTATATCTGTGTTTTTTCTATGGCAGCCTTCCTGGCACTATTCAGAAACCGAGAAGAATGTTAAACATCAGGACCTTAAACTACTCACTTTTGACAAGGCTTAAAGAACAGGGGCAAAGAAACCACCTGGTGAGGAGACCACTGACTCTTTTCCTTACTCTTTTCTTTTACCTTTAGCTCAAGCCTGGACAGAACAGCTGCAGGGACAGTGACAGTGAAAGTGCCAGTGGAGAATCCAAGGGCTTCCACAGGAGCAGCTCTCGGGAAAGGCTCAGTGATGTAAGTATTAAAAAAAAAAAAAAAAAAAAATTCCAACGGAAGCACCAGACTATACATCCAAGGGTCATTCCATTTTCTAGTTTTGATCTAAAACGTGTTTTAACTAATTATATGGTAGGTGTGAGTACTTGTCACCTTAGAAACAACAAATTACAAACAAGTGATGATATCGTGTTACAAATGAGTAGGCAGTGCTACAACTGGGAGATGAGCAAAACCCATTTTGTCTTTTTTTTTAATACTCTAAAACAGTTATCTTTATTATATTAGTACTTATTTGTTATTTTGTCTAAAAAATTAACTTTGCTAAAAACCCATTTAATAAGCATGAAGTAGTCATGTATGTAATTTATAAACACATATCTTCAGAATGTGCTCAAAATGTTTTTTACTGAGAGTTGTCCATAAGCGTAAAAGTTTGTAGACTTTTTGCAGCACATTGAGTCATCCCTGTAATAATCTTCTATCCGTTGCTCCATCAGCCAAAGTGGACAACCTCAAAACAATTAACCTTCCTATACTCCTCAGGAAACTTTGTGAGATTTAGGGTGAGATTTGATGTATGAAACATCTAATTCTTGCAAGAATTAAGTAGAATAAACAAAGTATAATTTTTTCTATGGTACTTTTAATATCTTAGTTATAGATAATACTCTACCCTTTTAATATTGAATAATATCAATTACATACGTAAATAAATACTAATTCAGTGTTTGCTGTGAATATGAGTATGTCTGTGTATAAGAATATTTCTCTGTGTTTATGTTTCATGAATTTTGTGATGGAACTATAAATTATAGTAAAACTATAACAATATTTCTTACCTATGTTGTTAATATCAATACTTAATACTAAAGTAGCTGTTCTTCTGAGATATTGTTTTGCTTTTCGTACAAGATCTTATTGACCCTGGAAATTATTCCAGATTAGTTAATCAGGATTTCATCATAGCCTGGAGAAATGAAAGCCCTATTAGGTCAGGTGATAAGAGCACGATATTGTATAGTCATTGAGATCTTTTGACTGGTTGTCCTCAACTTACTTTACATTAGAGCAAAAGAAATTACAAATGATATCCCACGTTTATGTACAGGAAGATTTAATATTGTTAAGATGTCAATACAACCCAAAGCACTTCACAGATTCAGTGCAATGCCTATGAAAATTCTAAGTCTTTTTTGCAGATATGGAAAAGCAGATACTCAGTTTTATATGGAATGGCATGAGGCCGCTAGCAGAAAACACAACATTGAAACAGAAGAACAAAATTAAGAGACTTATACTTTCTGATTTCAAAACTTACTACAAAGCTACAGTGATCAAAATAGTATGGCAGTGGCATCAGGATAGACTTATACAGAGAAATGGAATAGAATTGAGAGTCTGTAAATAGACCCATACATCTCTGGCCAAGTGCTTTTTGACATGAGTGCCAAGTCCTTTCAATTGGGAAAGAATTTTCTCTTCAACAGATGATGCTGGACAACTGGATTTCCCCATGCAAAAGAATGAAGTTGGACTTCTGTATCACATCATGTATAAAAATTAACTCAAAATGAATCAATGACCTAGATGTAAGCACTAAAACCATAAAACTCTTAGAAGAAAACATATGAGTAAATATTTATGACCTTGAATTTGGCAGTGAGTTCTTAGATATGACACCAAAAGCATGAGCAACAAAAAGGAAAACAGATAAATTGAACTACATCAAAATTAAAACATTTTGTGAATCAAATGGTATTATCAAGAAGGTGAAAAGAAAACCTACAGATTGTGAGAAAATATTTGCAAGTTGTATAACTGATAAATGTTTAATATCTAGTTATGTAAAAAATTCCTACAACTAAACAATAATAAACAACCCTATTCAAAAATTGACAAATGACTTGAATAGACATTTGTGCAGTTGTCCAGTAAGTATATGAAAAATGCTCATCATCATTAGTCATTAGGGAAATGCAAATATAAACCATAATGAAATATCATTTTATATCTACTAAGATAGCCATAATTTTTTTTAAATGATACAACATATATTGGCAAAGGTATAGAGAAATCAGAACCTTCGTTCATGCTGGTGAGAATGTAAAATGGTGCAGCTGCTGTGGAAAATAGGTTGGCAGTTCCTCAAAATGCTAAATACAGAAATACTATATCTCTACCAATTCTACTTTTAGGTATATACTGAAACAAATTGAAAACAGGTACTCAGACACTTATAAGCTGGTGTTCATTCCAGCATTATTTATAGTAACTACAAGATGGAAACACCACAAGACTCCATCAATAGCTGGATGGATAAACAGTGGTATATATGGACAGTGGAATATTATTTAGCCATAAAAAGGAGTGAAGTTCTCATACATGTTATAACACAGATGAACCTTGATTATGCTAAGTGAAAGAAGCTAGATGCAAAAAAAGACAAATATTGTACGATTCCACTTACAATGAGGTATCTAGACTACATAAGTTCTAAGAGACCAGAAAGCAGAATAGGAACTTCTAGGGACTGAAGGTGGGAATGGGGGAGTTATTGCCTTATAGTTATAGAGTTTCTCTTTGGGCCGATGAAATAGTTTTACACAAATTGCGACTGTAATTAATATCACTGAATTGTACACTTTAATGGTTAAAATGTCAAACTCTGTATATATATATACAAACTCTGTATATATATATATATATTTTACCACAATAGAAATAATGTGAAAAAAAAAATTAGAGCTTTAACAATCCTGTCAGTCTACAAAATACTGTTTGCATTGCTTATTAATAATTAAAAGTCACACTTTTTGTAATAACATTATTAAAAGATGAAAGAAAAAGTAGAAACAACTTGTAGTCTAAAGCTAATTTTTCCCTAGTACTAGATACTCTGCTTGGGTCCTGTTGTATTACAAGGTTTACCCACTCTGGCTGGTGGAAGTATCAACTATTCTGTGCCCTGTGCAAGCCCTGAGGACTGTTCTACCTGCCCCTTTTCAGTGGTTTTCCCCTTTATCACGTGTGCTTTCCTCCCACGGATGTGCTGGTATGGAGAGGTAAAGACTTGGGGGGAACCTTCTTCAGGTTTCATGGTTCTCTATGAAGTTCTTATCTCTTCCATCCTCTGCTTTGCCTGTTCCAGCTGCCTTGGTTTCCTTTGATTATCATCTCTATCTTCTCAACTCAGGAATACTGCTGGGCTCCACCTGAGTCATCTCCCACTCCACCGTGGCATGAAAACTTTCTTCAGGCAGTAAGCTGAGGCAATTGTAAGGATCGTCTCATTTGCTTCTCTTCTATCTGAGATCACTGTCCTATACTGCCTATTGCCCAATTTCTGAAAACCCTTCTTCATATAGTTTGTCTGGTTCTTGAATAGCTTAAGCTTAAACTACTAAAAATGGGAGTTATGTGGTCCCTGTTAGTCCATCATGCCCATTATTGGTTTTTCAGCTGAGATAAAAATTCTCAGAAGTCTTTCACTCACTTTTAAAATTTTTAGAAGCTTTGGCAGTTGAGACTTACTTTCAAGTGCAGCTAATCAAGATACTATATTATTCTAGCCTTTTTTTTTTTTCATTGGACAGGAAAAAGGAGTAAGAATAAAGAATTCCACTATAGCTGGAAGATAAAGCTCATGGGTAAAGCTTAAAAACCAAATGTGCTTGGCTTTTCTAAATTCTATATTCCCAAGCTGTATTGCCAGGAGGGAATATTTGTCTATAAGGACTTTCAGATCATCCACCTCAAGGATGCATAGTAACTTATTTGGATTATTCACTAAGGAAAAGGTCAAGGAGAATAACTGAATATATCAACCTTCATGATGAGTTATTCAAGGGGAAAATACTGCTTCTGACTTACATAGAGTTTTGCAACTGAGGAATTTGTCAAAACTTATAGTTTTAGAAGGAAATTTAGTCCATACCTGTGAAGGACTCTTGATATTCTATTTCTCCTTTTTTCTTTTATTTTTATTTGTGCCATTTATTTTCCCATTTGTGTATGTCTTTTTCCTTCCCTACAACATATGTGTGTGTGTTTTCTTGGACGTGTCAGTATTATGATTGTCCAGAAATATTTATCAGTACCTTTTATGTGTCAGGGCATTTTAGGTTAGGTGGGGGACAAGATGAAGTCTCTGCCTCATGAAGTTTCTATTCTATTGGGGGAAGCAAACAACAAACTTATGAGCAAACAATAAAATTATTTCTAATCTGTATTTTATAAACTAAACAAAATAGTAATGGGGATGGTAGCGTGTGTGTTGCTGTTTTCACTAGTGCGATTGGATTAGACCCTTCTGTGTAGGTGACATTTGAACTGAAGCCTGAATAAAGAAAAGGAGATAGTCTTGTGAAGAAGATCTGTAGGAAAAGCATTCCAGACGACAGGCACAGCAAGCTCTAAGTCAGAGCAAGCAGGACATGTTTGAGGGAAAGAAAAAAGGCTGTTTTGGCTAGAGTGTGGAGAATGAGCACAGAGGCTGATCACATACTTACCAGCCACTATTAAGAGAGAAACAAACACAGGCTATATCATCAGTGAGCTTCTCTGTATTTAAGAAGAAAATCTAATCCAGACCTATGAAGGACTCGATATTCTATTTCTCCTCCTAGTCTATGGTAAGAAGGCTAAGTGTTGTATTAGTTTCCCGGGCTGCTGTAATGAGTGGCCACAAAATGAGTAGTTTAAAACAATGGAAATCTATTTTCTCATAGTTTTCAAGGCAGGAAATCCAACATTAAGGTGTCAGCAAGACAATAATCCATCTGAAGCCTCTAGAGAGGTATCCTTCCTTTCATCTTCTAGCTTCCGGTGGCTTCTGGCAATCCTTGGTACTCCTTGGATTATGACTATATCAGTCCAGTGTCCTTCTTTGTCTTCATATGTCCTTCTACTCTATTTGTAGCATTGTGTGTCTTCTCCCTTATAAGGGCAACAGTCATTGGGTTTAGGGCCCACCTTAATCCAGTTTGACCTCAACTTAAAGACCCTGTTTCTAAACA